TTGGAAAACAAATTTGGAAAACGTCACTTAATGGCTTTAATAGCAGGAAAATTGTACATCTTTAATAGCAGTGGTATTAAACGGGATTCTGTAACCATATCGATGTGCCAAACAAAAACAGGAAAAAAATTTAACGCAGGATATGGAAGATACTTGTAGTTTGATGTAGAAAATACTATGTTTATTAACTGCAGATCTACTTGGCGATGAAAAAACAACGGCTAGAGGCCACTTGACTACAGTTGTTGAAGAACACGGACTAAATTATACATTGAAATCTTTTATCTTTACTCAAAATTGTCATTTATTTTTAACGTCTTCTGTATCAAAATCATTTTTCATGTAAGATTTTAAAGGATTTTCAGCTTATGAAGATGGATTCAAGGAAAGGAAAATAGACTATTATCAGACCCGAAGGATCAAGAAACGATACGTTAAATTCGTACTCTCTGCTTCTTATTTTGTATTTGTTTCCACAGAAAGTGCATTTGAGATTAATCATGAGAAATTACTGTTGAATGCCTTTTTCACGGATGCTCAGATCTTCAAATAAAGCTGGTTGACTGCAAGAAGAAAGTTATTAGTCATTTTAAAACTTAGAGTTTGGCGGTTACAGTGTATATAAGGAGAAGATAACACCAAAAATGTAGCATCCAGTGTTGACTTCTCTTAGGCGGGCAAAAATACATGCGAGAACTACCTGCATTGGAGTTGGATGTAAAATTACACGTTATGTTTTTTGTTAAGGTAAACAGAAAAAAATCAAGGGGTTTAATTATATCTCTAGCTGTACGTGAAGAATGTTTATTTGTTAAGACTTTTAAGCTTTTCACACAGCCAGTTATACATTGGTGACATCGACAGTGCAGACACGTTATAACCCTTCAGATAAAGTATCAAGGCGATTACATTGTAATTGAATACGTTCGGAAAAAGGAGAGACACTAGTCATTGCTTGGAAAGAAGAAGTAGTGTTGAAAGGAATTTGTAAAGAAAGAAATTATTTTCAAAAAAGAATTTTTAAAAATTAAAATTAAATATGGGACTTAAAAGGTACGAACATTGAAAAGCAAGAGTTTTATGACTAACTTCGCAAATTTTCATAATCTTTTGAAACACATAAATTTTACAAAGTGCTCTATTCAAGCAAATTCTTTCTGTTATACCTCAACTTTTCAGTTGTAGCTTTTGCTTAACTTTAGTGTAACACTCCTGACACTTGAAGATCAATAACCAGTTATTCTTCTCGGATTTTCGATACCTTAATTCACTGTTTAGGGAGTTATTAGTTTTAGTGGTCTAATTAATTTATTCATCTATGAACCTTTCACTTTCTTTTTTCTTCACAATTCTCATATGTTTGTCCATTTGCTTCCATTAACTTTATTTATTCAATTCCGCTTTTTTATCTTCTTCCTTTTCTATATCCTTTTCCCTTGTTTTACAGTCAGTTGTTTTAAGCGATTGTCCTTTGTTCTTTTCTTTTTTTTTGCGCCTTACCTTGTCTTCTGGTTCCCCCCCCCCCTTAATCACTTTTTTAATTTTTCCAACTTATTTCTCCATGTTGGAAACTTTATTTTCTTCTTTTTCAAACATTTAATTTTTTATTTCATCTTTTTTCTTTTTTACTGTTTTTTTTAGAACTTTTCTTTTTTACTTTCTGATTTTATTGTGTTCCAATCTCTTGGTTTAAACAGATGAGTACACGGCAGTATAGTAGGTGGTTACTTATGCTGTTTACATGAATAGGAAACTGTCTATGAAAGAAAGACTTGATTACAGCGAAAAGAAGAGTACCAACTCAAATCTGTTTGGATATAGGTAACAAGTTCTGGATTATTACATATGTGACACATGATGGAGTACATACCAAAGTGGATCTAGACTTTTTTTTTTTTTTTTTGTAGTTATTCATATCAATTTTTTTAAAAGTCGTTAAAACGATAATGACCGAGGTGATGTCAAGAACGTGATAATAGTGACAAGACTGTTAAAAAAATCTTTTTTAATTGTTTTAAGAAATTTATCTAATTGAATAGATGCATTTAAAATTTTTGTCTTTATTTTCTTTCTTATTATTACCTGTAAATCTTTTCAGGTTTTTTAAACAAAGCACCTTAAACATTACACTTGTTGTTGATGCTTTGTATTCATAAGGTTTCATATTTTTATTCAATTTTTCACTTGTTGTAATATTTGGCTACAGGTGAACAAAAAAAGAAAAAAAAAAAGAACTGAATAACTTTGTTTTCTAGTGAAAACAATTTATAATGCTTCAAAACTTTTAATAAAAAACTAAATAGCTATTGTAATTTTCAATCGTTTTTTGAAAAAAAAAAAAGAAAAAACTTTAAACTATTTCAAGAGAACTTTTCTAGAAGCAAAAGAAAAAGAAAACTATGTCATTTGTATTTGTTAAAATAAAGAAAAAAAAACCGAATTCTTGTTTCCAGTAGTTTTTTTTCAATTTGGTAAACCTAAGTGAAGTAAAAGTCAATGGGTTATGGATTTACGGATTTTGGTTGTTTTTATCTTGTATTTGAAAACATCTTATCGTCACCGTGTTGTACAGTGACGATAAACGATTTTTTGGATAATTTATAGGTACAAAAAAAAAGGCAAAAAAAAAAATACAGAAGAGGTTTTTACTACTACAAGACAATTTTTTTACGATATATCTATCAGACAATATCTATGGCATTTGAGTTGATGTTCATTTAGTTTTGAAACCAAATTTTTTTGTTGTTTTTATGCATATCAAATCTGTGTTCAGAATGACAGACATCTATTCATAAAATTTAACATTTCACATTATCTCAAGGAAAAGAAAAAAAAAGAAAGGAAAAAAATGTCAAAGTTATTGAGTTTATTTGTCCACTTTTGAATGCAGTAATTTAGTCAAGGTTTTTTTAGCCTTGAAATTCTGATCAAATAAAATAATATTGTAAAAGCAACAAGAAAAAAAATTGCAGATACAGTGTTTTTTTTTTTTTT